GTATTTGAGCACAGAACAAGCTACAGCGAGTTACTGGAGAGGAACTGGAGATGGCTGTCACTTGTCCTACTAAACAAATGCTGGGTTTGCATCCTGACTGTGTTTGGTGTGTGATGTTCAAGTCCCTGGATGCTTCTTTTTAACATTGCTTTGGGCCTGTGTTTTTCAGCTTTTTAGGGCTGTGTTACCAAGTGCCTGACCAGTGTGTTCTCGGCAGCTTGCATGTTTTCTGTGTCTTAGCCCCACCAGGGGCTGTGAGTAGTCCTGGAAGATCACAGAATCACAAAATGGCTTAGGCTGGAAGGGACCTTAAAGATCAACCAGTTCCACCCCCTGCCATGAGCAGGGACACCTTCCACTATCCCAGGTTGCTCCAAGCCCTGTCCAACCTGGCCCTGGACACTTCCAGGGATGGGGCAGCCACAGCTTCTCTGGGCAACCTGTGCCAGGGCCTCACCACCCTCTGAGTAAAGATCTAATCTAAACCTTCCTTCCTTCAGTTTAAAACCATTGCCCCTAGTGGTGTTGCTATCTGCCCCTATAAAACACCCCTCTCCCTCCTTTTTCTAAGCCCCCTTCAAGTCCTGCATGGCTGCAGTGAGGCCTTCCCTGGCCCTTCTCTTTTCCAGGCTGAGGGACCCCCGTCTCTCAGCCTTTCCTCAGAGCAGAGGTGCTCCAGCCCTTGGAGCACCTTTGTCGCCCTAGGATCTTGCAAATAACTTATTATCCACAAACCTTAAATTAGGTTTTGCTGCCATGTGCAGGCACAAAGGGTTTCTAATACCCCAGATACATCAGTTAGGAGTGTATTGTTACCACGTCCTAGGGATAGACTGCCAAGAGCTCTGCATCCATAGCTGTGCTTGTGTCTGGCAAAAGAACCCTGGAAAGTTGGATCTGCTGTGCTAAATTAGACTACTTCATCTTCTTGGGGACATGAAGATCTTTGTGTTTACGTGGACCAATGATTCCCAGCAGGTGGATTGGCCTTGTTAAAAGTAGAAGTTGAGGTACCTCCAGGCTTTTTATTCAGCCTGGGTTTTTTTGTTTGGTTCTACAATTTAAAAGGCTTTTTCATACCTTTTGCACCAGGAATTAACCTTCATTTTTTCTGACCATTTCCATCTTCCTTGAATTCCATCCCCCGTTCCCTTACAGTACTGGTTTTGTCACTCCAATAAGCTGCTTTTGGGAAGCTTGTCTGACAAGCTTTCTTTGAGAGAAGATGAGGGTTTTGGGGACACTTTTACTGTGCAAGGAGGTGCTTTGTTGCCTGGAAGAGTTAATTTTGGGGGTTTTTCTTTCCAGGACACAGTAGTACCAGAAGAATGGAAGAAATGTGGAAAAACAAAGCAAATGCCTTCAGAACAGAAGTGAATAAATAACTGAAAGACCAAAAGAAGGAAGGCAGAAGATGTTTTTTTTTAATATATATATATATTGAGTCAAAAGGGTGCCAGTTAAACTTTTTTAAATATCTTGATTTTCATCATTGTGTTCCTGCTACTGGAGTGCTCTTCATATGAATCTGGAAAATCTTTTTTTCCCTGGATCCTCCCCCTTTTTTTCTCCCAGGACATTTGAATTTCCTTTCGAGAAAGAGGAAGAAGAAAATACAGTTCTGCCTTTCCCCAGATACCCTTTCCTCATCCTAAAGATTTGTGAATAAAGAGGAAGGAATGGTCCTGAATGTTGTGTTTTGGCTGTGTCGGAGGCGGTGATTGGAAGCTGGGCTCACATGGGAATGAAAAGAGCTTTTTCTGGTGGGTAATTTTGTGTGTGAGTCACTGCTGTGTGTGACACTTCCTGTTCTTTCATGTGCTTTCCCAGAGGGATGTGTTTATTGGGGGGGACTTCCCACTCCTGCCTGTGCCCTGTGCAAGGCTGTGGGCTGCCTTTCTCCACTCATGGCTGTTCTCTCCCACCCCAGGCTGTGCTGAGCTGCTCTGGGCCCTTGGGGTCAGGCAGGAGGAGCCCTTGGAGAGAGCCAGCTGTGGTGCTGGAGCGCCTGTGTCTGACCCGGCAGGTTTGGGGGTCCCTTGGGAGGGTTCACTTTCTTTGCAGCCTCTGGAGTCACTGTTTCACTCCAAATAAGAGGTTGTTGCTTCTGGTCTTCTGTGAAACCAAAAAGCCAGGAATGTGCTGGTTGCCACGTGGCCACATTTGAATTACTCGAGCTCTTAACTTCCCAACTAGTTACTCCCTTCAGGACCACCAAGCATGTTGAGGCAGCGGATTTGGGCTTTATTGAAGAACCCACTGATAGTAAAAACCAAAGGCCAAAATCTCCTCCTAATGAGCAACTTCCACATGGGAAACATAACAGTTACTCCCTTCCCTGCATCCCTGTGTTTGCTCCTGTTCATCCCGTGTCAGAGTAGTTTCTTTAAAGCCTTTTGGCAAAGGAACTTTATCAAATTTCCAGGAAAAATTATATCAGCAAGAAAGCATGTGGATAAAGGGTGTGGAGCTGAATCCTCCAAAGCACTTCACATGTGTGACATGACTCCACTTTATAAAATCCCCTTTTTCTCTTCCCCACTGTGGTTACTCACACTTAGCTCACTGTTCCTGCTCTTTGTAGCAGTTCCTACCTGTTTGTTCAGTGCAAACGTTACACTGGACCCACAGAGGTTTAATGAATTTCTCTGACCTCCTCTGCACTCCTTCAAACACCAATCTCGGGCTGCATTCAACTCCTCTGGGACTAAAGGAGCTTTAGGCAAGAAATAACTAAGCTACTGTTCACAGTAGTTTATCCTGGAATTCCTCCTCACCGTGGTGAGTTTTTTGAGCCTTGTATTTTGTTACTGCTCACTTAGCAGCTTTGTTTTATAACTTCCTTCTGATGCTTCATGCTAGGACAGGACTTTCCCTGTGCCTGTAGAGCTCTGGCATGTTATCCAAGGACAGCACAGATGCAGAAGGAAAACCATGGAGTGCCTTGGTGAGGTATCTTCTCTAAGCTGTGTATGTTACTTTTGATTTTCTACTTCCTTGGGTATGCAGTAGGAAAGGTAATTTTTATTAATTTGGCCTTTTATTTCTCACATATTTTCTGTTTTATATTTAATATCCCAGAGTTTGAGCATTTGTTTCCTCATTTTGATGCAAACTTAACTTTCAAAGCAGTATCTTTTATTCAAAATAGCTGCACTCACCCAGCTGTTTAATCACACAAACACTTTCTGAAATGTTTTTGACAGGTCTTTTGATTTTATTGGGAGTATCCAATCCAGTGTTTGCAAATGGCTTTTATGCCACTTAACAGAATTTAAAACCTGAGCAGGAAGGATGTAATGGGTACGGATTTGGTGCAAGTATGAACTAATCTTCAAACATACTGGAGCTTACTGTCCTAAAACACAGTCACCTGAGGAAAAATGAGATGGTACCTACTGCAGACTGTCAGAGAATTGTTTGAGTGCAAGGAGGAATGATTTCAGAGGCCTTAAGGCATGTTTGCATGTCACTGTATTTCCAGCCTGGTGGTGTTAATGGTATTGGAGCTCCTGCCTTTGTTAGCCCAGCTCTGAGTCACCCTTGGTGCATTTGATTACTGTCTTTGAGAAACATCTTCCATTCTGGGCCCAAAATCAAGAAACTAACTTCTCAACAAAAGAGCATCTTGACCTGCTGTTGGACAGGTTTATTTAGAACAACTTTTATTTCCTGCTAATGGAGGGAAAGCAGACCCCATCCTGATGTTATTTACATTTCTGAAGACATAATTATTACACAAACAGTAGGAGAATTGGGTGACAGGGAGGAAGTAGCTGTATGACATCACTGGGTAAATAACTTACTCCTTTGAAAACATTTACAGTCGTGTCTAGTCACAGTGGAGTTCAGAGCCATGGGGTGGCACTCAACAGAACGTTGAGTTAAAACATAGTGACAGCCCAATCTGATGCACAGGGATCTCCTTGAACTCTCACAGAGCTGTAGCTTCACTTTGAACACCTCAAGGCTGAGCATTAACCACAGCTGAGGTTTTTAGAGCTCAGTTTTGCTGCCAGGGCTCTGTGTCAGGGAGTGAGGCAGCAGCCCATGGCAGTGTTTCTGACGGGTGGGAGACGTGTGGATTCATGTCTCACCTCGCTCTGATCCGAGCTGTGTGTGTGGTTGTGCCATCAGCATGTATTTAGAGGAGCCTGTAATCAATTTACTAAGTCGCCTAAAGGTGCCTTTTGGTGGCCTCATGTTTGTTAATCAGGCTCTCAAACGGAATGATGACTTGGCAGAAATTTTGCTACACTTTGTGATTTGAAAGCCTTAATTAGTAGATAGAATGTCCCCAGGATTACAAGTGTATGGGTTGTTTTAGTCTGTGTGTAAAGCAGCCTGAGGTTAAACCACGGAGGTGGGTTTTTCTGATTCAGTACGGAGCAGAGAGGGGAGTTAAATTATAAAGACTGAAAGAAATTAAGTAGTGCATCAGCACTGCATTCCTTCGATCATGTCTGAGGAGTGTATGCATCAGTTTGCAGCTCACATCTGGCAATGTCTTCACTGCTGTGAAGGGCTCACTGTACATCAGGTCCACGAGCTCTGAATTATTCTAGACAGAAGGAGGAGGAAAAGAGAATTATGAGAAAACTTTGTGAGGACGTACAGAACTTTTTCATCCTTTGGAGGCTTTTCCTGACTGACTTTATTTGTGGAAAAGTAACCAAAACCTGAAATGTCCCGAGTATCTAGAGGCAGGGGTTGCTCCTGGGAGATTTTTATCTGCCTTTAGCCTGGCTTAGACGTTCAGCCACACTGTTTCAGATTTACAAGGCTGCTTTGGGTTGCTGCAGGCCTGTTCCCAGGCATCCATATGCAGCTGCACAGCACTTGCGAAAGTAGCTGACAAAATTGATTGGGAGTTTTTTCCCCTGAAATTGCACCTTTTTTCATGGATAGTAGTGGGGGCTGGCATCCCTGAAGGAGAGCCTGCAAACCTTGAGCTGTGCAGCAGTGTGTATGTACAGGATGGAGCAGGGAATGCTACTCACCAGAGTGTGGGGAGATGGAAAAGGCAGAAGTATTTACATGAGCTTAGCCAGGGTGCTGGGAAAGCCTTCTAACCGACTGCTGTCCATGTCCTGAGGCCTGTCAAGGAAGAGGACAGGGATGGTGTAATTTGGATCAAGAGAGAAATTATTTTTCCACTGCTGCTTTGCTGCTTTACTGCATGATGAGGTTGAGAAGACCACTGTGTGTGGTATGGGCTGGCTCAGCACAGGCTGCTCCTTATCTGCACCCTGCTTGGGCTCAGGTAAGAGGTTTATTCTTTCCCTGACTGTACCTGAAATGATACTTAATCCAGTAGCTCCACATCTGGAATCCAGGCAGCAATAAGGACCTTGTATTCCTGCAGTGAGGTGATAATGAACTGATTCCCACCTACCTCTGGTTCTGCAGGATGGCTCCCAGGAAGTCCCTCAGGACCATGTGGTGCTGGTAGCTGCTGTCCATCAGGATGCTGTCAGACTGGCGCCTTGTCAGGAACTCCTGCACCCCTTCTCCCGGGCTGCTCCTGCTGCTTCTGTTAGGTGAAGATGAGAAACATCTTTGTTTCAGAGATGCTTTTTTGTCCCTTGCTCCAAGTTTGGCTCAGGCTGAGCAGCACAGCAAGGGAACCTGCTGGGTCTGACCCTAGGGCCATTCTGCTTCATTTCAGTAAGGATTGGTCACTGTATTTGCTCCTCTGTTAGAAGATGGATTGGAGCTGGCTCATATCTGACCAGTTGGTCTTAGTGGCAGTCAGTGATCTATCCAGCCAGAGGTACTGGAGAGGCTGCCTTCTGTGTTTAAACCAGGCCAGGGATAACTGTTTCCTACCAGTGAATGATCATCGCAACTATTATTTGCAAATATTATTGCTTGTTGATATTACAGTAGAACTCTCAGCTGATCTGATGCTTACAGCCTTGGAGGAAAGGATTAATTAGGCTGCTTAATGACAGCTGTGATTAGGAGGGATCCAAGATGTAAGGATGCAGGATGCCCTTCAGGATGTGGAACAGCAGGAGAGATTGTTTCTCTTGCAGGGGAAGGCAGCTATTCCTGCTACATGCATGAAAGAAACTGCCCTGTGTAATAAACAAAGCACTGGCCCTAGGCCAGCAGGATGCTGGGCTTACCCGAGCCGTTTGCCAATGATGGTCTGTAGGAATTTGCGGGCGGAAATCTGCCCCAGGAATTTCCGGTAGTTGTCGGTGAATATGGCATCGGCATGGCGCTGCATCCTGGGGGGAAAGGCAGGACAGTGTGCTCTCTGAGCTAGCAGTGAACCCTCCAGGTGAGAAAGAACACACTGGGGGTAACAGTGCTGATAGCAGGGGCAGGTAACCACAGCAAACACCTTTTGGTGTTGGACTGTGCTAGTGTTTTGGGGTAATGGGATTTGAGGGAGCTCAGTCCCGACATGGAGGCAGCAGGCAAAATAAAATGTCTGTTAATCAGAGTCCCCACTAAAACAAGTAAGGAGGAGTGCCTGCAAACCAAAGGTGAGATCAGAGAACCAGTGGAAAGGAGGAGGAGAACCACAGGCTGGGAAAGGGCAGAGCTGGGCTGGGACATTCCCATGCTCTGCAGCAGCACAGTCATCTCCTGGGAGGATGGTGTCTGGGACAGGATGACAGGATCCTCCAGCAGGTCTCTAGCCTGTGGTTAGACCCAGACTCCAGAAAATCCACAGATAAGGGAAGCACGAGCCACTTGACTGGTCCCACTGTTGTAAGGACGAGTCCCCTGTGCCCTGTGTGGTGCTGCTGGGACTGACTGACCTGCTGGTCTGCTCCTGGGCTGGGGGAGGTTGTAACCAGCACACTCCACAACAGCAGGGCTGACAGGTGAGGTACAAACCTTTTCCCAGTGGGGTCTGCTAACAAACCCTCCTCCTCCTGTTCCTCTGCCGAGGGGTTCTGGCTCTGCAGTGGGCTGCTGTGCTGGAGCTGGAAGCTCATGGCCTTGCCAGCAACTGGCCCTGGACTGTACCTGCAAGATTTGTAGGGGTGGAAAGAAATATTACAACTTCTAAGAGGTGACAAGGAAATACTTGAAATATTAATAGGCAGCTGTTGAGGTCGTGTACTAGAACAGTTCTGACTTCAATGCAGGTGCCCTGCAGCCACAAATTTTAATCAGTGGTGGAGCTGGTGGTGCTGCCTGCTCTGGAGATTGCCAGATTTCCCTTTATACAACCCAGTATCCAATTCTAAAACCAACTGTTTAGGCTAAAATATTCCATCAGGTGCCTGTCCCTTTGGAAACCACCCCTAGGCTAGCAGTGTACCCAAAAAATTAAGACAGGGCAAAGAAATAGGCCTAGCAACACATTTAGAGTTCGTCTGGCTTTCAGAAGTGCTGGCAACTTTAATTTGGCGTGTGCTAATTTTGCACAAGGTCAGGGATGAGGCAGGGAGTGATAGTGTGGATAAAGCACTGAGCACTTACCTGAGAGCTGGGTAGAGAGGAGAGGAGATGGAGCATGCAACTAAATGCAGGAACAGGAGCAGAGTGGCCTTATCCAGCATCTTCCACCCTTGGAGTCACCTAAAACACAGAGCAGTCTGAGGGCAGGGAGGTGCTCCAGGCCAGGAGAGGAGGCCAAGTACCACCTTTATGTTCTCAGTCCCCCCTGTTCACTTTTTGGCACAAAGGGTCTGGAAATTTGCCTCTGTTTGTGGTTGGGGTGTTTCCCAGTGCAGAGGTTTCTTGGCTTGGCAGTCTTCCCCAGGGAGTGAGTGCAGTGCCTGGAGGCAGTGGCTGTGTCTCCCTTGGGCCAGGAGGCAGGGCCGAGCAGAAGGGTTTAACACTGTGGGACCCCCTGATGGGCCTGTCCCACTGCTGTAGTTGAAGGAGAGCTCTCTTGGGCTGGGGTGAGCTCCAGGGGCCACTGCAGGGGCTGTAAAAGCACCTTGATGGAGGGCAGCAGTTAGCAGGGACCAGAAAGGAACCACTGCCTGCACAGGACCATCTGCAGCCAGCCCCTGGGACCTCTCCTGCCCTCTGGTCTCCCAGGGACGTGTGTCTGCTCACACAGCTCCACCTGTGTGGCACAGGTCCACGCCTAACAGCTGACTGGGCTGCCTCCAGCCAGAGACTGGGAGAAACAGGGAAACCCAGATAAAATTCCTGGGCAGAGGGGTAGCACTGGCAAAGCCATTTATCGAAGGCAAGTGCTGAGCTTGGTTTGCCAAACAAAACGCACTGTTGGGCTTGGGCAGAGAGGGGACTGGACCGAAATATGTCCCTTTGGGGGGGCTGAACTGCCACCCTCGAGGTGACTACCCAGCTCTGAGCACGGGCTGTGGTGGAAGGTGGGATGGGCTGAGCTGTGTGTGCAGCCCTGGCTGCGGTGCTTCCTTCCTGGGGTTGGCTGAAGAGCTGTGAGTGACTCAGGACAAAGTCACCTGAGGTCACACACCCGGGGAGCTGAGTGCTGTGCTTTTGTCCTTGGAAGCCAGGGACAGTAGGAAGGTATTTCAGTGAATGCTGCTCTTCCTGAGTTTTGATAGAAAGCGATTGATCTTTTGCTCAAAAAAGATTCTTTAAGAATGTGGATAGAAACCTTTAAAATACCAAGTTTCCCTGTTCCCCATCTTACTTTACACAAGAAAAGAGCAGAAAGATGTTTGATCTCCATAAAAGGAGAAAAAAACCCTTCCAAAGGTATAACAATACTTCCTTGCAAAAGGAGCAACTTCCAAATGGAAAGGGTTTGGTTGGGCTTCTGACTGCCCACGTGAACTTTCCAAGGAGTGGGTTTTCCTGAGGGGGGGGTCTTTCTGATGGAGAACATCAGCAGTGAGCTCTGCTTTACTGCTCAGACAGAGCAGATCAACATAGAGAGGAGGACACTCATTAAGGACTTTCAAGTGGGTCCAGTCTCGACACTGTGGAAGTTAATAATAGAATTAGTGGCAGTGTCAGAAGTCCATGCATAGACATGGGAAAAGGTGTTGCACTGAGAAATGAGATTTCTTACCACAAACTCATTCTCAGCCCAGTCTGTTTCCAGCTGCTTGTGCTCCCAGCAAGGGACCAGCAGCTTCCCCATCAGTTCCCCTGGGAGCACCACAGTAGCTCCTGACTCCTGCAGAGCTTCTTGTGCTCATGGATGGCATCTCCTACTTCTGGTCTATTACAGAATCACTTTGGCCCCTCAGAGAGCCAAGGAATACTTAAAAGAAGGAAAAAAGGGACTTTGAGAGATTTACAGGGCTTTTGCCTTTAGAGTAAATTTACTGCTTCCTTTTTTTTTCCCTTTTTCATTTGAACTTGAAAAAGCATGCCTTTTCTGTGCTCTCCCTGAGTATCTTCATGGCAAATCCCAAGTCAGATCTTTCTAGATAGAGGAAATGATCTAAAGCATCTGTCAGGGGGTACCAGGAGACTGTGGCACCAGCATCTAGAGAAAGTGCCAACCAGGAGATTTAATCAGTACCAGGGAAGCTACTGTGTGAGCTGAGAAGTTCAGTGCCAGTGTAAATGCAAACCTCACCCAAATGCTCTCCCTAGCATACAGCCCTGATTAGCACTTTCTGACTCTGGTTTCCCTTCTTTGAATGTTGGGGTTTTCTCCAGAATCACTTTTTGAACCTTTGGGGTATTTTTTTTTCTTTCTCTATTAATAGCTTCTTTGCAATTTTGTTTGTTTGTCTCTGGCTTTGCCCTTTTTCCCGTCTTGCTTTGCCTTCTCTCCTTTAGCTACAACCTGCTTCTCATTCAGCTTTTGAGTATGTCTGTCTCCCTTTTTCCCTTGGGAATAAGTCTGAAATGAAAGTCCTACACCCCTTCCCAGAAGTGTCTGCTGTTTCAGAGGAGAAACTGGGGAATTGAAGTGTCACCCTGCATGGAGGCAGCTTGACAGCTCTGCAAAACACTGTCACCTTCAAAATTCTCTTGAGGTGAGGGACAGCTCACTTTCCATTCTGGCAGCACATGAAAAAATTATTAAAAAATAAATTCCTCTTAAGATGATGAGCTTTTAGTGCCATTCCTGCAGGTGAAGCATAAAAGCTTCATTCCATCCTGTGCAGCAGGAACAGCAGCATTGTGACAGTGATGTTGGAGAGATGGGTATCTCTTACCCCTTCTGAAACCTTAACCTGAGCTGTCTGAAAAATACCCCTCTGTAGATAAAATGGAGCTTTTGCCATACCTGCTGTTTTATAAAGCTGAGACTTTTATACTCTGAAATGCTACAGTAGAAAAGCAGAAATCCTTTTCAGTCCCTCCCTCTGCCTCGTTGTTTGGCTTCACGTTACCTATAACACACTGTTGTGTTTCTCCTCACACTTGGCTTTGGCTCAAACACAATTTCATTGCTGGGTGAGTAAAACACTGTTCATTTGCCAGGGTAAAAGCAACTCACATCAGTATAGCAAAAGAGAAAAACTGCTACAGCTGGTAAACATCTAACATGCTTTTACAAAGCTCATCTGTAGTATAATTCCATTGATTTGCATTTATCCTGCAGTTCAATTATTGTTTCTTTCTATGACTTGGTACAAAAACATCTTGGTACAAAACTTGGTATGGTACAAAGGCTGTTGTACATGGCAAAGCTAATTCCTGGTGCCAGCTTTGATTGCATTTCAGTACAATTTAATTGTCTCCAACTTCCGAATAGGCATTATCTTGTTAAACACAGAGAGAGAGACTCCCACTTACCGTTCCTGTAGAAAACAAGCACTTCCTAGATCAGCTCCTGCCCAGGTGTTCCTTCCCCTGTTGCAAACACAACTTCTCCTCTGGAGCTGCCCCTGTGAGCCTGCAGGGTCTGTGCCCCGCGGGACGTGGAGTCGTGCTGAGCAGGGAGGACTCTCTCGGATCTCCCCCCAGCTGTCCTCTGGCTGCCAGAGAGGTGCATCTCTGCTTTTTATACCTGTGCTCCCTCAGGAGTCCTGTGGGCTTCCACGCGTCAGAGCATCAATTATCCTCCTGAATTTCAAAGGCTGTGTTTAGCATCCTCTTTCTGTGTGTGTGTGTGTGTGTGTGTGTGCAGGGAGGTGGCAGGGAGAGGGTCATGCCTATAATCGAGGGTCATTTGCACACTTTCTCTTTGTCCCTCAAAGAGTGAAGAGCAAATAAAACCAGCAATAATCTGGCAGAGTGAATGACAAATTCACTTTGAAAGGTAAACTTCTCTTTCCCTTTGCAATTGCGGGTTTTTTCCTTCTACTCTACAGTGAGTGAGTTAACCATTAATGCTTTCTCACACTGCATGAACAGGAGGGTTTGTCTTTTTGCTATTCTATTTTTCTTTGATTATCAGCCTTTCCCTCCTTCTCCTTTGTTACTCACACCTGCATTAGCGGGGCAGTTCATGCTCCAGTCCCTTGCAAACATCACAGCTTCACATCAAGCACACAGAGCAGCCGGAGAGCCCCGCTCCGTTCATGTGCTCTGGAAAAAGGCAAGGGTCTTCCCTGGGGTGCTGCGTGCACTGGCAGCTGTTTTCGTTCCTGGAACAAGGTTTATGAAAGCCCCATTAAAAAGAACACAGAGCCTTGGTGCCAAGAAGACCAGGACAGTTCAGAGGAGCTAAAAACGAGGTGTCAGCATGAGCTCCACCTGCCAGATTTTTCATACTGACTTTACAATGCCCAGAATTGATGGGGACCCAGACCCTTCCCATCTCAGGGCTTGCATGACTCGATGGTGGGAAGGAGTTTCAGCAGGTGAGATGACTCATACCTGCCCACTGCCCAATACCTTCACCTTGCACCAGAGCACATCACAGCTGTTGGGAGCAGAGAGGGATTGTAGGAAGGACGAGCATCTGGTGTGCACATGGGTACCTGTGTGTGCAGGGGGTCAGAAGCATCCAGTGCTGGTCTAACACTCTACCACTGCCCCTCTGCTTCTTGCTGAGGTGAGAAATCACTGTGATTATGGCTCATTTCTTAGTGAAGCAATATCCCTCTGCCAAAACGTGGGCTCCCAGTAAGAGTAGTCCCACAGCTGGAAAGGCTGGAGCGAGCTCAGAACACCAAGTTGCTCTGGTGTTAAACAGTCACTCTGTACCTGGACAGATGTGCACTGATGCCTTTGGGCTCCCCCCTGCTTTTGAGTACTCAAAGGCTCACATTCCCTTTGGTATCTCATTAGGATCAGGCCAGGAAAATCACAAAAAAAGATTGAGCAGACCAAAGCAGGAGCTTGATCTAGCCCAGAACTGAGCATCTGACATGGGCCTGTCTAGTGGAATCCAGAAACAGAACAACAATGTGAAGAGAAGCAAGAACCACTGCCTTCCTCCAGCTGTGAAAGGAAATGGTGCCAGCCTGTTCATGGGGAGAGGATCTGCCATGCAAATCAGGCAGGTATATCATCTGTGTCATCCACTGGTGGGCACTGGAGAAGGGGATTTCTGGGTTGCACAGAGCAGGTTTTCCAAAATCTCTGTCCTGGTGCACACAGCTGTGTGCTCTCTGCAAACTGGAAAGGGATTTTGTTTGCTTTTTTGAAACAATCTGTTCGTGTTCTCTCACGTGTGAGGCTGGTTGCGCTAATTTTTCAGCATGACTTATTTTTCTTCCACTGTCTTGGTGCTGCACTGGCTGAACAGATGAATCAGACCATGCTGTTAAACCAGTCAAGAGCTATTTCAAGGTATTATCCTATAGTGCAGTTTTGAGCTCATTCTCCATCCACCTGGTCCCATGCCTTACACAGAGCTGCTGTACAATACCAGGCAGTATCTCTTGGATCAAGGAGAATCAGTCTATAACTGACTTGTTTATAGCTGCCTCCTGCCCAGCTTGGATTAGGAGGGCTGTGATCCATGTTCATATCTCAAGCAAGCTGCTTTCAGAGAAGGCTGAATAAAGCTCCATCATCCCAGGGGTTTCCTTGTGCTGCCTGGGTTGGGTTCATGTCATGCACAGCTGGATACACCAAGACTCACAACACCAAGCTCTCTATGACTTCAGATTAATTGCAGGAGACAGCAGAAATTTCTAAAAGCCCTCCAGGCTCTGTTGGGTGTACCCAGCTTAGGAGTTCTGAAATAGCACAAATAGAGCAGCTTTTCTGTCCCTGGGATTTCCTGTTTCAGCATCAGTCAAAACCTTCCTGTCTTCCCAGGACCCAGAAGGGTCATTTGTGGAGCTCCTCCACCAGACTCCACGAGCTCTCCCTCTGGCTGCTGAAGCTGCTTCTGCAGCAGAAACATCTGTGATCCCCACTGCTGCCAGCAGCTCAGCCCCAGCATGAGCCCCACCACGGGTGCCTGGCTCCAAACATCCCTGGATGAAGATGCTATGGACTGTGATAGGATGCAGACTTGTTTGGAGCCAGCTTTTGCATCCCTCTGTGTTGCAGTGTGTATTTGAGGTAGCAGTTCTCTGTCCTCGTGATCATTTTTTCAGTAGGGCAGAGCTGGTGGCACACAGGTAGAGATGGTGTCACACATGTAGAGCTGGTGTCCCCTGCACATGCAGGAGGGGGGATCTGCCTGCAGTTCTGTGCTCCCCACAGCTCCAGAGCTCCTCTGGGACTGTCAGTATGTTCGAAGGCTGAACATTCTGGCTGTTTGACAGCATTCCTCATGGGAATTTCATTTGAGGGGTAGTATCAATAATAATTTGGCACAACAGATGAGAAACTTGTTTTGGAACATGAACAGCTTTTTCTCTTTAGAGTATCTCTTGGTTTGTCCCTAGAACTTTCCCAGATTCCCCAGCCTCCCCCCCTACCACAGCTAGTGCTGTCAGCATCCACTGGCTCCCAAACCAGAGGTATTTAACACTCATTATCTCCCACAGATCACATTAGCAGTGTGCAGTGGGTAACTCTCTTTTTGCCCTCTAAACCTGAGCCTACACCAGTGCAAGCTTGGTGGAATCTACAGCCAGGTACGAGCTGCCACAGGTATCTACTGTAGCTGGAACAGCTGGATTTTGGAGTCACATCCAAGCAGACCTACCTTCCCTAGGGTCCTTGGGTGAAGCACATGCCAGTTGCTTTTATTTCAGTGCCAATCCTTCACTGACAAAGGACAGAGTTAGGATCCTGAAGCAATTTCCCAGGTATTGATTTCCTCTTAGCTTTACCTCCCCCTGTTTCCATGCCATGCTTTAAAAAATCACCCCTGTCTATTCCAGGTGCACAACAGACAGCTTCAGATAAGCTGAGCAGCGTGTGAAAAGGTCCTGCTCACCTTGTGGGCTTGAAACTAATGACAGTCAGAAGTAACTCATCAAATGGCAAAAAAAATCCCATATTCTCAGCTCTCAAAAGCCGTTCTGCACTCTACCAAAATGGCACAGATGGTAGCTGTTTGTCCCTAGTTTCTCCAGCCTTCAGCACTCCTGAGAGAGCCACACACAGCTGTTTCCTTTCTTTCACTTGAGAGATGTGGTGATGCCTAACTTATTGCAAATGCCATAATGGTAAGTTAAACAGAACTGCCTAAGACTAAAAGTTATGGGGTTTTGCCTGGGTTTGCCATCACAGAGGTACGATGAGACCCATTTTAGTATCAAATATTCCAAGTGGCAAAACTAAGGCACATAACAAGTAAGTTGATCATCAGTCATTTAATTACATTGTCCATTACTGCTGTGCTCGGTAACTTTCATTACTTTCATTCCCAAGTTCTTTGCAAAAACACAGTCATTGTGTGAAGGCAAGCAAACAAAAATGAGATAAGAAAGACAAGATTCAGCCTGTGTGGCCAGTTCCTTCTAAGGAAAACTCAAAACTTATACCCAGCAGGTGTGGTGAGACTTGCCATTAGAAAATCTTGGTTTCTCATCCTTGGAAGGATAAAGTGCTAAGATGTGGATCTTCAGATCCTTCAGGCTCCATCCTTTGAACATCAGTAGATTTCCTGGGGAGAATTTTCCCTTTAGGAATTCAAATTGGTAGGAAGCCAAGTACAAACATTTACCAAAATAATCCCAAGGAAGGAGTCCCTCTGGATGAGAGCATAGTTTGCACTCTGCGAATGAGACTGAAGCAAGGGATCAGATTAAAAACAGACAAAATAAATCAGAAATTCAAAATGTGCAAGAGGTGCTGTTGAAAAGGACTGTCTCATGGTGTTAAAAAGTCTGCTTGAAAAGCCTATTTAATCTTCAAACATTAACTATCCCTGAGACTGTACAATAGAGCAAATGGCAGCAGCCTGCGAGATGTGCATGTGTCAGGAGGCCCGATGGGCTCTGCAGGTGGGATCCATTTATAGAGCCTGTACCTGTCTGGCTCTGTTTATTCCCCAGCAGATCTGCTGGAGCATTTCAGCATCGCCCAAGTGAACTGCCGAGAGTTTCAGCCAGGTATGAGCATGCTACACTCAGCTCTAGGCTTGAGAATTACTAGTTCCTGAATTTCTGGCTCTCTAGATACCATCTCCTTCTTCTTCCATCCCCAGCAGACAGACAGGGCTGAGATGCCAGCATTGAATCTCAGTAATTAAGGAGCTTGTCTTGGGTTTCACCACTCCCATTTCAGTTTGGAAAGGAGCCTTCACTAGAAGGCTGCACAGCACATTACAGCCAGAATCAATGAACAGGGAGAGGCAGCTTCAACCCCTCGAAAAGCTTCTGATAAAAACCAGAATTTAAGTGAGATGTTACTGGCACCAAGAAAGTAAAATGTGGTTTATGGAGAGGGAATGAGGAAGACTGTGTTTCCAATAAGGGCTAAAAAATGAAAGCCACTGTAAGTAATTTTTTTCCTGGCTGAATACCAGTGTGCATCCTGAGGATGACAAGACCTTGGTGCACAAGGATCTGGCACACGTACAGTGAGTGGTAATAAAGAAGCCTCACTGCAAAGACATGCAGGAAATACTGCAATGCAAACCAAAGAAAAAACATAGAAAGGACTAAAAAAGCCAAGGATTATTTGGATTTGGAGAAAAACTTCTTGCCTGAGCTCTGTCTCTACTTAGAACCGAGCGCTGACAAAGTTGCCATGTCCAGTTGTTGAATCAACTTTATCTTTGAAACCCACTCACATCTCACAGACTTTGGAAAAATCTTCCCCTTTTTTTTATAAATAGTTTCCTTTTGTGTAGTTTCACAGTCAGGTGCAAGGAGTGGGTCAGTGTGGTGCTGTTGGAAGGCACGGAGCCGCAGTGGGCTGATGGCACCACCTGCTTGTGGCTCCCGGGCTGGGGCACTCCTGACCTGGCCGTGGAGGCTTTGACGGCCTCGGGGCCAGGACAGGGGCACAGAAAGGGCAGGAGCTACATAAAAGCTGCACATTTCACCTGCCTATTTCTACCTGGAGTAAGTAGTGCCATTGCTGCTGGGGAGAGGAGAAAAGGAATCTAAAGTACAGCGCTGGTTTCCATCCATCAGTGTATTTTCCCCTTTGCTTGCAAACTTTGAACTGCAAAGATCAGAGCCCGTGAGAAGGTGTGTGCTGACAGCAGCACCACCCCATTCAGTGTACTGGTAGTATTGGGAAGAATTTAATCTGTCTTTAATCCATGCTGATAGGATCCCTCCTGACAATTTCAAGAATTACTTCTCCCTCTGCAGCATTTTTTTAATCCTAAATAGTGTTTGGAAGCTGAAAGGGCAGAATTTCAGCTGCTTTCCTGAGCTCTGGAGTTATCCCTTAGCCTCTACAGCCACTCACTAGAGGCAGGGAAAGAGCTATTCAAGAGTAATTTTTTATTTTTTTTTTAGTATTTTTATTCCAGAAGAGTTTCTGTGTCCCAGTATCTCTAGCCTCTGCCACCCACAGCCACGTGCATCTTCCAGTGGTCTGCAAAGTCTTCTGCACTAAAAAACATGAAAGATTCCTGATCCAATTGCTGAAAACCTTTGAAATAGTTTTCATTAATACCCATTTAATTCAAATGCTTGGTAACAGCTTAGAAAATCCTTTTATTACAAATGCCATACCTTATTCTCCCAGTAGATAAATAACTGATTAGGTTTTCACTGAAGTATTTAGGCTCTCTGGTAATCAAGCTCTGCAGCAAAACCAAGCTGGCACATCTGATAGTTTAGGGTTAGAAAAAGGGCAAAACAAATCAGAATCTTTAAATACCACAAACAAGAAAACAGAGCCCAGGCCATTTTTCCTTTTGTAGGTCATCTTATCAAGGCATCTCCAGTTCGGAGCTGGATACTGGACGGGGCATTAAAAATAAATAAAATCCCTGGCAAGAGCAAAGCCAGAAGCACATCTTAATTGTTGCTGCCAGAGCACGTCAAGGGAGCAGATGAAAACCTTGTGGATAAAGAGAAACCTGCCAGGCCTGAAAGGCCACATTATTGATGGCGGGATTAAAACACTCACACGGATTTAGGAGGTGAGTACGTTAACCCTGAGGTGTAAAGGCGCCAGGGGAGATTTGGGTTGGACCTTAAGAAGAATTTCTTCACGAAAGGGTGATCACACATTGGAATGGGCTGCCCAGGGAGGAGGTGGAGTCACCGTCCCTGGAGGTGTTTTAGGAAAGACTGGATGCGGCATCAGTGCCATGGTCTGGTTGACAAGGCGGTGCTGGGTCATGGGCTGGGCTCAGCGATCCCAGAGGGCTTTTCCAGCCGGGCTGGCCCTGTGACGGGCCGGGGCCCGCGGGCTCCCGCAGGCCGGGAAACGTGCTCGGGGCTTCTTCGGGGACCCCGCGGGGGCCCGGGGCCCCGCTTCGGGCAAGCCCCGGGGGCGGGCTTGGAGGGGCGGGTCGCCCAGCGGATGTTTGCTAAGGGATGGTTGCTAGGATGGTTGCCAGGGATGGTTTGCCAAGGTACGGGCGGTAAGCCAAACTTCCAGGCGGGGCGGGAAAGCATTCCGGGGCGGGGCGGCCGGAGCGAGGGGCGGAGCCGCGGTGAGCGGGGGCCCGGGCGGGGCAAAGGGGCCGCGCGGGTCCCCGGCGCTGCGGGGAGGGCGGCGGGAGTTTCCAGCATCGCCCCGCCCCGGCAGGGCGGTGGGGGGGGACCACCCCCGGGGGCCCCTCCGCTGGTCCTGGGCCGGGCGGCTCCCGGGGGAGGCTGGTCCTGGGCAGGGGGGAGAGGGCAGGAGCAGGAGGGCATGGGGGCAAGGGCAAGGCGGGTGTCCCGCTTCTGGGGCTTGCCACAGCTGGCTTCTTCCCGCAATCCCCCCGGGCACGGGCCGGGGGGGACAGCCCCCTGGTCCCCTGTATCCCGGGCAGGTTGGACCATTTCCCTGGGTTATCCTGGGATCGGGGCCTTGTTTGTCCTGGAATAATCCTCCTAGGGGCCGGCGCTGTCAGCGGTGTGGAGCACACGCAGATCCCCGTAGGAATTGCCCGGGCTCCATCCCAACACCTGCTAAGCCATTTAAGAATATCCAACCTGAGCTTTTTTGCCTCACCCTCTGACAGAAGTTTTCGTGTTCTGCAGGGACGTTACTCTTTATTTCCACCCCAAGAGAAAGCTAATACATATTACTTGAGCTGTTCCTATGGCTTTGGCCATCGCTGATTATTTGTGTAGTAGCAGGTCTTGAAGGTGCCAGCTGGGAGACACAGCAAGGAGAAAGGTTTGTGTCTGGCTGTACTGAGGTGGCTGCTGCACGGCCCTGATCCTGGAAACACACGGATGTTCATCACAGGGCCTGATCCTGCTCCACGGGGAACAGCCACATCCCCTTCAGTGCTGCCACTGGCAAAAGCAGGAGCTGCAGCCCCGAGGAGCCCCTGCCTGGGTCTGTGGCCCAGCCCTGGCTTTGCTACAGGACCAAGTCCTGCTGCGTGGGGGCAGCTGGCTTGCTGTAAAACCCTAATGGAGTAGGAGCAAGACTGGCTATTTTTAAACATATAGTCAATATAAATTCCTGTAGTACAGTTGCAACTGTTTGTGACCAATTTCTGATGTTATGTTCCAGTGAGATGGGCAGGCTTGTGGGGAGAGGAGATATCTTCCCACTCCTCCAGTTTACTCAGTGGGTATTAGACCAAATAAATAAGCTGGAAGGGTTAGGGAAAGCCTCCTCTCAGGGTTTAAAATGGGAGTATTGATCTTTAAATGCAATTTAAGAAGAATTAGTAAGTGCAGCTGTGGTGAAGTGGTCTGAGGAAAAAGGCAGTTAATAACCTGTGGAGAAGAAGAGATGTTAGCCAGGGAAGAGGTGGTAAAACTGAGCTTCTCGGGAACAGGGAGGAAGACTCAGTCACCTAGGGACCTGTTGGCTTAGGTGCAAGGCAGAGTGTCAGGAGGTGATGCTCTGGGTAAGGGAACTCCCTTTGCAGGTTCTGTGTTGGGTGCAGAAGGCACGTGCCTGGTGCTGAGCCCCAGCACCCAGAGATCAGCTCTGGCCTGCCCATTTGGGGGAGTTCAAACTCCCTGCGTGTGCAGCTTTGGGCACTGTGTGAACCACAGGAGTTCTTTAAAACAGGAAGGAGTTTTGGTAGTGTTAGTTCAGCTCCACTGATGGCAGGAGAAGGAATGGTCCGAGTGTGGGGTGCCTGCACAGCTCTGCTGTGACCAGATGGAACATGAGGTCAGGTCTTTGAGAGTATTTCATGGAGTACTGCTTATAATGGGGGTGGCAGCTGCTACCAGCCTGCGTGAGAGCCCTTGATGCTGGTCATGTCACCTGGGATTTGTCAGAGAATTACTAATTCCCTCAAGGGAGGTGAGGTAGGAAAGGGGAAAGGAGGAAGATGAGGATGGAGAATTTTGTTTTCACTGTACTGATTTCCTTTTCTGGTTTACCTCTGTGTGTGGTGTTCCAGGTGTGTGAGTCAGGATTATCAGTAGGCGTTTGTCCTGAGAAAACTCCAGGTGAGGAATGAAGCAACATCCCTTCCTGCTGTGTTTGAGGACGGGGATGGGCAGGAATTATGTTTACAAAAGATATCCCGATAAGTGAGGATGAGATAAAGGCAGCTCAGGGGTGAAGCTTCCAGTGATTCTGTTTCTTGCTTAGGAGCTGCTGCCTTGCAGATTGGGGAGAGGGAGTGTCTTAAAGGTAAAAGCAGTTGGGGATGAGCCACATGTCCTGAAGTGTTTGTTCACGCTGCTGTGCAGCCTTTGGGTCTGGTTGGGACTGGCTGAGCCTGCGAGGGCAGCGTGTGTCCTGCCTTCATGTACAGGGCCCACACGGCCCTTGCTGACTGAGTTTTAGTCAGAACTTGAAACATTTTTGTTCACCAAAGTACAGACCTGGAAGGGATCGTGAGAGTTCACCTATTCTTATTTCCTGGTTGAAATGCAGGATTATATGTACCCACACCCCATCCCAGGCCAGTGCTTATCTGAGCTGCTCTTCTGAATTGCCAGGAGCAGGGATTCCACAGTCTTTCTATTCCAGTGGCTGCCAGTCTGTGCAGTTGGGAATGTTTTCCTGTCTTGATTCCGTACTTCAAATGAATTAAAACAAAATAATTATTTCTTGTAATTTCTGTACCACTCCTTTTAGTGTGTCAAGTGATATTTGCCTCTTATGCAATGGCACTGAGTTGTTGATTGAGTCTCAAATTTATCAACTGTAACTTTACTCTGATTATACTCTTAAATTGAGTCTCTTTCTCGACCGTGTCACATCTGCAGATCGTAGCAACCTCCTCCCAGCCTGAGAAATGCAGGGCCTGCTTTGGACATAATTTCTAGGAGGCAGATTCAACTGCAGCATGTGTGCAGCATATCTCTCAGCCAAGCTTTAGTGATACAGAGAACTGTAGTGTATCAGTAAGCAGTGCTGACTCAGCGAGTGCACACTGGGATCATACAGGTCAGGAGAACAGAGGAGGGCAGTAATCACAGCTGAGTGTGATGGCATCCCAGACTAATTGGATTTCCCTTTGGGGACTTCTGTGGCATACTCCAGCAGTTCTGGCAGGAGAGCTCTCCCTTTTCTAGAAAGCCATTAGTCATTCATAGAATGAATTGACAACTCCATTAGCAAAAGATAAAGGGAGAAAGAAAGGATGGTCTTGAGGCTGAGAAACTTGGGACCCAGGAGATCAATATTTAACTCTGCCACAAACTACCTGTGTGACTGTTGCGAGGTACGTGGGGCTTTGTGTAACCAGCCACTAAAGCCACACTTAAATTTGTACACACATAACTCATTCCTCTGTCTTCATCAGCTCTACTTCTGTGGTTTATTTAAGTAGTTGGGTTTGTACAGCATCTAAAATAAGGCTGTGATCACATAGACAGTGTAAGTGAAAACTTTTAATAATCACCTTGCATGCATGATTGACTTCAGGGAGAAGTATGTTTTGGCTTATTAAGCTCATTGCTTAATAAATATTGTTAATATTTCATTTGTCGGCCCCTCACCTGCAAACGGACTAATACCAGCATTTGAGGACTATTTTAGTAGTCAGGTGATAAAAGACAAACATCCAAATTAAATGCAGCTTTCATTTTCCTCTTTGCTATTGCTTCTGTAGATCGAGAGTATCTTCAAAACACCTGCATGGGGGAGTCTGTCATTTTGGGGTAATGGAAAGTGAGTAGCAGAAAACCTGATGCAAATAATTGCTCTGTTTTTTCCCCTTTGCAGTATCCAGTCTTCTTGAGAGCGGTAGAGGAGAAGGGTGCACTCACAATGGCTGCAGAGTTGGATTTCTCCCCTCCTGAAATCCCTGAGCCCACATTCATGGAGAACGTGCTTCGCTACGGACTCTTCTTTGGAGCCATTTTCCAGCTGATCTGTGTGCTGGCCATAATCCTGCCAGTGTCCAAGGCCCACAAGACAGTAAGCAGTGCTCTTTAATATTGATACAGATGGGCAGAGTCAGAGAAAACAGGATGGGGGGGAATGTCGAGTAGCTAATGGAGGCACAGCAGTCTGCCCCGGGATTGGTGACAGTTTCATTGTTCACTCTCTTTCCTTCCCTCAAGCTTTCCCACCTCCAGCTTTTGTCTTTTGATTTACCGCCAGATAGGAAAGCCAGGAACAAACACCTAAGCAAGGGTCTCTCTGAATACCACTGGAAAAAACAACCTGAAGCACTGGCAAGGTGTTAAATGTACGTGCTGTTCCTGGCTGCATGAGAAGGCTTTGTCCCAACCCCATATTGTCATCCTGCTACTGATTTGCTTCATTAATTGCCAGGCAGGGTCTGCTTTTCAGGAAGTGGCTCTGGGTGCTAGTTTGTGTGTGATTTTTGGAAACAAGATGCAGATGAAGTTTGTAGTATATCCTGATGTGAGGGGGGCAGTTTTCAGTCCTGACACCCTGTGCAGTGCTGGAGGGTCCTTTGATGCAGCTGGCACAGCAGGAGGTGGAAGTGAAAGGCTGAGGTGGGCTGCAGGACTCTGGTTCCTCTGGACTGAGGGATGTCCTGCATCCTGCTTTTCTGATGAAAGACCTCTGTGTGCTTGGCAATGCTGAGTGCTGGGCACAGGTGTTTCAGTGCTGGTCAGGCTGCAAGTTTGTTGCTTTGGTACAGATTTTGTCTAAAGGCATATGATGCATTTTCAGTAACAACTCAGCATGGGGAGTTGTGTTTTCAGCTTATCTTTATTGCCACGTTTGCTCCCTCCTGTGCAGAGGAAGCATGGAAATTTACAGCCTGTCTGGGCAAGGGAATGCCCCAGGGTGAGGTACAGTGTGAAGATTGTGGTTCATGACCCAACTTCTTCACCTTTGGCTGCAGGTGTGATGTGACACTGTCCTGGCATGGGTCATGCTCCCTCCTGCTGCTCCTGCTGCAGGAGCTGCAGCTCCTGGCAGGGAGATGAAGTGGTGCTTGCTACACACAATGCAGTGGTATTGCAAGTCTTAGAATCATTAAGGTTGGAAAAGACCTCCGAAATTATTGAGTCCAACCTTTGCACTGTTACCCTGCAGCCACCAGTGTCTGTCTGTCAGTCTCTGGTTTCCCCAATAAATGTTTGAGAAATACCAATTAACCCCATTTTTGAAAGCTGAAAAGAGCGAGAGCTTTGGTTTGGAGTGGGAAACTCCCAGTTAAAACAGTAAAGCTCAAGTAAGCTTTTACTGCTTACTTTTGCAAGCATGCCTTGATGTTTGCATATTCTACTTTTTATTTTCTCCATGTGTGTACTCTCCTCCTGATCTGCTGTCCGTATGACTGGTCCACAAGGCCATAAACACCAGAGGCTACCCCTCCAGGTCCTGGGAATGATGCTTGAGTGTGGGTAGGATACTGAAGAGCTTCTCTGTGTTGGGAGCCTCAGACTTTGAAGCCTACCCTGGTTTGGACATTAGAAGGCAGCAGTGTTCAGTTTATGGCAGCAGCATGCTGCATCCCTGAGTAATACCCGCGTGTTGCTCCATCTCTCCGAGCCTGCCGGCTCCCTGTGCACCCATCACAGCCTTTGGAAAGCCAGCCAAGCCTCCTTCCTTGGAAAGCCACACAGATGTGAACTGTAATAGCCCAGGAACCTGAGAGACGTTTGAACCAAGCTCTTTGATTAAAAGGATACTGTCAGATGCTGCCTCCCCCTCCATTATCTGCAGCACTGGCTTGGAAGCTTGAAACCAGCACGTCTTGCTCAGCCATTTTTTGTGTGTCCTTTTCCAGTTGGCACACTCAGGCTGAGAGAAACCAAGATGCTAAAGCAATATTTATACTCAAATGCATTTAATGAAAGGAGGCAATCTGCATGTGTGTGCTTTCTCAGAGGAGACTGGCGCTGTTCCCTCGTGTTTTCACAAGATAACTAGACTTTATTTCCCATGGCTGCAATATTATCTCTCATCTTCCCTGAAGGAAACAAGCAACATATCTAAGCATTTTGTTAGTCCAGGTGAAGAAAGATTTGCCTGCAATTCCCTCCCTGGATTTTAGGCTTGGTTTAAAGGCTCTGAACTTTCTGTTTGTACTTCTGTTTCAGGGAATATTTTTTTGTCTTGCACATGATAATGATTAATATTTGGCAGAAATACCTGCTGAATGTTTCCATGCACCCTGATGATTATATATTATCTTTTCCTAATTCAAATAGTTTTCACTTAGTGTTGATTTTTTCTTGTCTTCAAAGTTAGGTTTGTTTTTCTTCTCCAAAGCCTGTTTTAGACACTTAAGCTTTTAATGGCATCTCTGGTAACAAGCTTTTTCTGTGCATAAACTCACACTCATCAAAAAGCATGTGCAGAAGGAGCAGAGATGGTGCTGCTTGAGGCTCATTAAACGTGGCCTCAGTTTGATATCAAAGTGTTCCAACAGAGATACCCAGCACTTGTTTCCTCTGGCTGATACTCACATCCCCAAAGCAAGCTGTCAGCAAAGGTAAAAAAAAGTTACTGACTGTTTCTTAATTGATTCTTGTAGGACTCGGACAGTTTTGAGCCTAAGAATTCAGAGACAGTGAAGAAGCCAAAGGCAACTGCTCCACAGATAAGCAAGAAACCCAAGAAGGAAACCAAAAAGAAACGATAAAGGCATGACTGATGAGCGTCAAAAGACCAAATAATCACTTGTAATCATGCTTCCTCAGAGACAACATCAAAGGCAACTAACTAACTCTGTTAAATGGTTTTGTGGCATTGCCATGTTTTACCTTTCAGGGACAAGGGAGAAGGAATTTACAAGAATGGAAGGGGAGGGATTCTGCCATAGGTTTCTTGCAAGCAAAGAGAACTTCACATATCCAGTACTTCATTTGACATGATTAATGTGTCAGTCACCATTAAAGTGACTTCTGTCAGTTCTCGTGGGTAGAGAGGCCCCTCAATGCTGGCTGGGATTTGTAGCCAAGTCCCTGTGGAAGGTGGAGCATGGGTTTGCTGCTTTGGATACCAGTTTGTGTTGTGTTTTTTGAAGCCAGAGGGATCAAATGGATCAAGGATACCACACTACACAGTTTTGTATTCATCTCTGTTGTCATCTAGTCTGAAATACATAGCTGCATTTTATGGCTTAATCATAATGTCTTTGTCATATTCTTTAATTCTTTAGGTAATAACTCACTGGATTCCAGACTACTGGAGATGAAAGCTTTCATTTCCCCAGCGTCGCTACTTCTGTCTTACTCCCCACCCATGCACTCTTCCTTTCTATTCCCACCTTTGAAAGCAGGTACATTTCAGGGATTGAGGCTGTGGTGGGGATTGTGATGACTACAAGAATTGGGGAACAATTTGATTCTGGAAGGTGCAGAATTTAATGCCTGTGCTAGTGGGGTTGTTCTTGGAAACTTGGGAAGACCAGGTACTGCATTTTGGAGAAGAGCTGCTGAGGTGGGAGTCTGGGAATGCTGCACTGATGGTGCACCAGCCTGCACTGCCTCGCTGTGCTGTGGATAAACCCTCCTGCCAGCTAGCTGAGCCCTGACCAGGGGCCCTGTTTCAACACAGCTGGGGTTCCTTGCATTTGCAAACTCCCTCCCCAGCCTTCCCTGCTCCAGTCTGCTCCATCTCCTCTGGCTGGATTCTTCCTGAGGGTAAATACGTTCTCAGCCTGGGGAGGTGTGGTATTTTAAGATCCAAGGGGTGGCAGGCTGGCTGTGCAGCATGGCTGTATGGCAAGAGACACAGACACTCTGTTCCTTCGGGCTCTGCCTCTCCAGGCCCAGGGACAATCTGGTCTGAGATTTGAATACGGCGAGACAGGACTGGAAGGAGTGGAAGGAGATAGGGGGTGACGTAGCCACGGAGTCTCCGTGGGGCAGCTCGAGCTTCCTGATGCCAGCTCACATCTTGGTTTGTTTGATCAGGAATGAGTCAATGGGAGGAGAACCTGCTCTCTGAGGCGCACCCAGGGTTCAGAGCGGCTTTGAAGGAAGGGTTCTCTCTGGCAGGGCTGCAAGTCTGCAATCCTTTTTGCATACCCAGACTCCCATCCTCGAGCCACAAATGCCCTGTGAGCCCAGATGTGTGTTCTTGAACAGGAGCTGAACAACCCACTTACAGAAACCATCAGTGTTGAGAACAGCCACATTCTCTGCTCGCTCTTGCTTTTGGTGGGAGGGACAGATAGATCCCAGTACTGTGTGATTCTGACCTCATTGCTTCCCTGCTCCAGGCTCTTGACCAGAATGCTGACACCAAGTTGCACTGCTTAAAATCCAGCTCAGAGTTCTGCTTTAAATTCTGCATTTTTTTTCTTGAGCTACATGAAGGCAATACTGAGAGGACAGAACAAAGCATAGGAGACACAAGCACTCCAAAGTTGCTTTGAGTTCTCAGTACAAAGAAATATTACAAAAATTTCCCACGCAAATAACAAAGAATGGTGTTTGCTGTGAGTTTCCATGACAGACCTGTGCTCTGTCTCTGATCTGCAGGAGGAAGAAAATCATTGCTACTGCCCTGGGTAGGTACTGCAGATCCCTCCTTCCATTTTAATACATGAGGATGGTTTTATCTAAACTCCAGCTTTCTGCAGGTTACCTAAAGCAGAGGGTTAATGCTTTAATGGAGTCATTGAAAGAGCAGCACACACCTTATCCAAAATACTGAAGCACTTCCACAGCTCAGGACCAGTTAGCAGTGGGGACTGTGTGGCTGTTACCTGAAATAGCAGCTACTACATCAATGTCTACCTCCAGCTATCTGCAGGCTGGCTCACTCATTGCTCAGTAGAAATCATGGATGTTGGGGTTTGGTTTTGTTGGAGGGAAGAGGGATTAAAATAAAATCCCCAATCTGTTCCTAACAGCTTTATACCTATTTGAATGTGCTTGTTTACTGAACTTAGAGTATGTAGAGATATTACCAACATCCCATGTATCTTAGTTTCTCTTGAAATGTGTGATAAATGTAATCAGAATATCTGTTTAAAAAGAAATCTGTTTTTAAAGTTGTGCTTCCCTCACATTTCACTGTGAAAGCTGCCAGAAGTCCCAGACTATAGGAACACAGGGACATAAATAACCTATTCATTAAAATGATCCATTAAGGGAAATCCTTTCAGATCCTTTAATCTGTGAGAAATTGGTTAGTTAATACTGTCAGGCATGTGTGCATCTGTATCTGTGTTTGTCTTGGAAGTAGCAAACTGTCTCCCAGTACAGCTCCACCTTCCTGGCAGGGAGGAGGAAACGGTGCAGGGACTACATCAGCTTGCCTCTCTTGAGAGATTTTGGCTCCGAGAGCCCCCATGAAGGTAGCCATAATAAAGGCATCATTTGTTAATAGTGCAAGCAGGGGATTAGGTGGGGATTCAGGAGGCTGTTAATAGGGATTTTCAGGAGCCCATCGGTGTGTGGCTGGAGCTCAGGTTTCCATGGCTGGAGCGTGGAGCTGTCTGGTGGCTCTTGGCTGCAGTGAGACCAGTGTGGTGGCCAAGCTCTGGTGAACATCTGTTGGTTCTCTCACCAGAAAACCAAAACAGAGAGAAGGACTAGTGTGGTGACTACTTTAATTCCCAAGCACTTTTCTCCGGGCTGTTTTGTAATTAACATCCCAAAGGGAGCTGAAGACCTCATTAAGTCAATTTTATTGCAGGGGAGGTTTTCAAAGGTCTGTCTCCAGATACCTGCCAGCAGAGAGCCACACCTTGCTCTGCTACCCAGAGCCAGGAGCTGGCCTTCCCCTGCCAGCGTGTGTCACAGAGTTCCTGTCCCTCAGCAGGCCAAGCCTCAGCTCTGAAGAAACATGGCTGGGAGTTGAGAGTTCCTTCGTTTTTGGTCACAGTGGGGCAGCTCAGCCTCTCTGGCCACGCTCCCCTCCAGGGCCATCGTGCCCCTGGCGCTGTCCCGCGCTCACAATGCATCCTTGTGCTCCTCCAGTGCCAGCAGCACAATCCCCTGAGACGGGCTAATAAGCAGCTCGTGACTGGAGTTCCAGTTCACATAGTTCAATTAAATCCCTGTTAATCTTGTTCAGACCTAATTTACTTTCATTCTCATACACATGCTTCTCTCTGCTCCGGAGAGATTCTGGTGAGGTTCCCTGCCCACAGGACTGAGGAGCCCGAGGCCATCAGCCCCATCAGAGGATTGATGTTTGCAGAGCAGCCCCCTTGTTGAGTCAATAAGCTCAGATTATTTCCCAGCCTGTCATGAAGAATAAAAATACTCCTTCAGTGCCTGGATTTAGGGAGAGTCGAGCAATCTGATGATGCTTGAGCAGATGATAAGGAAGCCATAGGAGGGGAGGACCTGCTCAATATCTCTGTTTCCCAAGGCACTGCTGAACCATTCCCCAGTGTGCATGTGTTCATTTTTGGACAGCTGAGAGCTGGGGTCCTGGAATTCTCTTGGGAGCATCTCCTCCACACTGATACTTCTTTCAGGCAGAAGTTATGTTGTTCAGAGCCTGTGGCCTGCAGGGATTGAGATGACTGTATTGATTTAGTTGTTTGTTTATTAATCTCATGAGGCATGAGAGATTGACTGCAGTGAGAAAATGGGATGATGAATGGAGAGTGCTGGAGTACTGAGCACAGTTGCACGTTCGATGATTAACTTGATTGCTGGCTTTGACACTGGGAAGGGATCTGACCCTCCTTCTCTTCCTCATGCAACCAGAAGGGATGATTTGTTTGGGGAGCGTTCCCTTTCTCTCTGGCTGCAGACATGGGCTGTAATCAGTGTTTGCATTCCTTCTCCAGCTGGTGCTCACTGCAGGTCCAAGGTCCAGCTCTTCTCCTCTGGTAGTTTGTGGCTTTTGAGCAGTGGTTTGTTGGAGGTGTTTTCTGGCTTTTGGTGCCTGGGCCAGTGTGCAGTAGCTGCTTAAAATGTCTCTTACTTGAGGCTGGCAACTGTGGGGCAATGAACTTGGCTTCCTGCTTCTCCCTTGAAATTTAGCTGATTTTCCCATTTCATGTTGATTCTTCCCCATTTGACTTTTCTGTCACCGTAAGTCACTCTCATGACCCCTTGTGTTCTTCTACCCTGTAGACTCATGTCCACTGCATTTATTCTGTCCTTGTAGCCAGATTTTACCTACCAGTGACAGTGGGTATAACCTGCTATTACCTGGACTGATAGAAAGAAGGAACAAGTGGAGGAGCATCCAGGATGGAGAAAGGTGTCCCCTTGTAACCTTTCGGCCAGCAGAGGTAACTGCTGGGGCAGGACAGTTCCCTGCCAGGGAGCTGTGCCATGGACATCTGCCTGCCCCTGAGCCACTAGGAGCCAAACCCATCAGGACCACGCTCCCGAGCTCGTGATGGGTGAGTGGTGTGGTGCTGTGCGTGCTCCACACCACCGCTCACATCCTGCTCCTCGCCAGCACGCACACATTTGTCTTGTGCAATCCCAAACCTCTGGCAATGCTCACTTCCCTCCTCCCAGCTTCCCTGGTTTCATTTAGTGCCCGGAAGCCCCAGTGTGGCTTTGATGAGCCCCTTGCACCCTGCTTGGAGGAGGCATGAGCAGCCATGCCCTGGGACACCGCAGTCCTGCCGAGGATCGCAGCGACGTGGAGCAGGTGGTTGGAGCACAGGGGCTGACATAGGTTCCTCCAAGGCTTCAGTCCAGCCTTTCTGGCTGGTGGGTACAAGGTAAACCTGCTTTGGGCCATGTTGCTCTGCTTTTTAAAAACACCTGTTGCCTGGCTGATGTCACTTGGTGCATGTGAAGATCTGGGCTCCCAAATGGGCGATGCTGTGGGTGGAGGGGTTGAAGGGCTCTCACTTCTTCCTGTCTCCAGCTCCAGGCAAGGAGCTCTGTCCCTAGCACTGTGCTTTACTGTAAGTCCTACTTACACAGCATTCCTTTTTTGTGGAACCTGCTCTCTGGACATCCCTGTGTTCCTTGCCAGAGGCTGTCTCAGCCTCTGAGCTGCACCTCCGTAAGCATCAAGTTTAGCCAGACTCAGTTCATGGACTGGGGCCATGGAAGGCATCAGCACTGACCTGAGACATCTCATATCTTGCCCAAGCTACAACCCAGGTGTCCCAGGCTCCAAGGCTTGTTCCTGCTGCCTTCCCTTTGGCTCCTGCTTCTGCAAAAGCCATCCCAGGCTTACAAATTCACCT